TTAGCTGTGTGTCTAATTCACTGATCTGCTCTTCATCTCTTTTATTGATGAACAAGTTTAGAGATATGAATTTTCCCCAGATTACTATTTTGGCCGGCTACACATTTTGGTGTGTTGTCTCATCATTGTTATTATTTTTCATGAAATTATTGTATGTTTTTATAATTTATTCTTTTATCTCCATTTTTTAGGGTTATGTTATTTAGTTTCCAATTAATTTTTTATTTGTTTCAAGGACCCTTTATTGAATGTAAAGTCTTATTACATTATGGTCAATAAAAGATACATTTGATTTCTCTGTTTTTCTGCATTTGTTTGTGAGGTTTTTTATGTCCTAGTACATAATCAGTTTTTGTGACTGTGTCACGGATGGCTGAGAAATAGGTGTACTCCTTTCTGTTCTCATTCATTAATCTCCAAAGATCTGTCATATTTAACTTTTCTAAAATTCTATTCAGGTCCTTAATTTGATTTATATAGTTCTGAGAGGAGTAAATCGAGCCCCCTCCCCACTATTATAGTTTTACTGTCTTAATTCTTCGTGTAACTCATTTTACTTTTCATGTAAGAATTTAGATGCGATGTCATTTGGTGCACAAGTTTATTACTGATATTAGTCCATTGTTTATGGTTCCTTTTAACAAGATGTAGTATTCCTGCTTACCTCTTTTAATTATGACTGGTTTTGCTTTTATCTGAGATCATTATATTGCTCCTACCTTTTTCACTTCAGCTGAAGCATACAAGATTCTGCTCCATCCTTTTAACTTATGTATCTTTGTGTTTCAAATGTGTTTCTTGTAAACAAAACAAAACAGACTTTATCATTGGATTTTGGTTTCTAACACATTCTGCTATCTTCCTTTTTAGAGCTGTCTTCATTCCATTCACATACCTAGTTCTGATTGTTCTGTATTTTCTTCTATTATTCTATTCTTTTATACTTATCCTCACTTAATGGGTTGGTCACAACCTCTCAGTGCCACTAGCAGCTCTCTAAGACTGCAAGTAACAAATGAGTTGCCAATGTGCATTTGTAGAAGGAGTTGCTACACTTAAAATTTCCTACCTTGGTATGTCCCTTGGCCAAGCTAATTAATGAATTAATGTCCCCAAACTGGAGATAGTTCAACAGCCAATGCTTTCAAAATTATCTAATCATAGGAAAATAGTACTAGACCTGAAAAATATCTAACTTTTTAAATAAACTAACCAACTCAAGGTTCAATTTCCTATGTAGCTAAGAAATCATATAAACTAAATTTATCCTAAGAGAAAATACCATTTCTAAAATGTAACAGAGTTAAATGAATAGATACTTTGAATGTTTTGTGAAAAAAAAAACAAAACCCTGTACTTTTGTAGAATTCATTTAAATTGTGGCTTCCTGATGGCTTAAATCTAATTTACCATTTGTGAAATCCCAAATGACCATATTGAATAGTACTGAAGAGTACAGATTTTTGGTCCACTCTGTTTTACAAAAAACATTTATGTTGATTAATTTCAGTTTTTAGTTGAATTCTTTCGAAATTTAAACTTACTAATATTTTAACTCCCTATCTGTTCTGAATTTTGTGCCTCCATCATCACTTAATAAGAATTGCTTCCTCTCTTTTGTAAATAGATATTTGCCATTAAACCAGTTTTACTAATTTATATACTCAGTTGAGAGACAGTATAGCAGAATGGATAAAAAGAGCTGGCATTGTAGTTAAAAAGACCTGGGATTTAGTCCCACCTCTGCCACATACTGACTTAGTAACCTTGGGCAAGTCACTTTACCTCAATATCTAGGTATCTCTAAGATTGAAAGTTTCAAAGAAGGTTTCTCCTTGCCTTGGTAGAAGCTTCTTCCTCATTAGGCCATGGAACCCCAGTTCTAATCCCTATCCCTAACCTGTATACACTTGGTTAAAATACCTTTTCTTGATTTCTGATTGCCTTCCAGCTCTCACATTTTGGATTCTGTGGTTCCGTCTAGCTTTAATATTTTATATTCTAATTTTTTTAAGGTTTTCATATGGGAGAGGAATTAATCTTGTTTTTCTTTTTTAATTAATTAGTTTTTAGTTTTCAGCATTAATTTCCATAAACTTTTGAGTTTTAAATTTTCTCCTCTTCCCTCCCCCCCACCTTCTCCAAGAAGGTGTGCAATCTCATGTAGGCTCTACATATACTTTCTTATTAAACATATTTTCACATTAGTCATGTTGTAAAGAAGAATTACAACAAATGAGAGGAACCATGAGAAAGAAGAAACAAAACAAAAAAAGAGACAGAGACAGAGACAGAGGCAGAGACAGAGCGAGCAAATAGTATTCTTTGATCTGCATTCAGATTCCATAGTTCTTTTTCAGGATGTGGATAGCTTTTTCCATCATGAGTCTTTTGAAGATGTCTTAAATCCTTACATTGCTGAGAAGAGCTAAGTCTATCAAATTCAGTCATCACACAATGTGGCTATTACCATGTACAGTGTTCTCCTGATTCTGCTCACTTCACGCAGCATCAGTTCATATAAGTCCTTCCAGGTTTTTCTGAAGTCCACCTGCTCATCATTTCTTACATAGCACAATAGTTTTCCATTACATTCATATACCACAACTTATTCAGCCATTCCCCAACTGATGGGCATCCCCTTGATTTCCAATTCTTGGCTACCGCAGAAAGAGCTGCTATATTTTTGTGCATGTGGGTCCTTTTCCCATTTTTATAATCTCTTTGGGATATAGCCCTCCAAGTGGTATTACTGGGGTAAAGGGTATGCATAGTTTTATGGCCCTTTGTGCATAGTTCCAAATTGCTTTCCAGAATGGTTGAATCAGTTCACAACTCCACCGACAATGCAAATTTATCTTGTTTTTGCTTGATGCCAGAGAGCAGAACTAAGAGCAATGAGTCAAAGTTGCAAAGAGTGAAACTTAGGATAAATTTCTAATTGCTAACAATTAGAATTTCATGTGCTACCTTGGTTCTCCCTCTCTGGAGGTTTTCAGTCAAGTTTGGATGCCCAGTTCCTGGCTTTGTTGTGAAAAGGGATTCTTCTTCTGTTATGGGCTGTACTTAGATGCTGAAGTTGCTTCCAACTCTAAAATTCTCTGAGTGATAAATCTATACTACCAAATTTGGGGGGGCTGTGGATAATTGGATGTCCCCTGCTCCCATGAGCAAATAATATTTTAGTATTCTGATGCTTTTATTTATACTAACGACATTATTTTAAAAATTAGTTTAATTCACGGTGTAGCATATGTTAGACTTTTAGGTTATTTATCCTTAAAATTTGTATATTTGTAAATACTTAAAGAGTAAATTTTCCCAAATGATGGCTGCTTCCTAGATTAGATTTTAGAAATAGAAGAGACTACATCGGTCATGGGATTTATCTCCTTCAAATATACAGATAGAGAAAATCAAATCCTAGTTTGTAGCTTGTCTAATGTGATAGTTTTAATGTTGGATACTTAGGATGAAATTGTAGATAACATTACTAAATTACATAATTCCAATTTGAGACAGAATCACCTTCAAATTTTTGTACATTTGTTTGTAAGTGAAACAATTATTTTGCATGATCAGTAATCACATCTCAATTTATATTTTTATAGCATTAATTTCCTTAAGGTAGGTCATGTGTTTATTGAAAGTTGAATATTAGACAATCTCTAATACTGCCTAACATCTCTTATAATATTACAAATAATTATGTGTGTATATATACATATATATGTATATAATGTTTTCTGGTATAAATTTATCCAATGTTTTCTTTGACATGTTAAATGGTAATTTTATATGCCTATGGTAACTTTATATACCTACGGTCATTTTGTTTTCTGAAAGGAAATTTGTGGCTAACTTAAGGAATTGTGAAGTGTTAAAATAGTAGTCAGTCCATAAACATTGATTAAGGACCTGCTATGTGTCAAGCATTGTGCTAAAAGTTGGGCATACCAAAAGGAGCAAAAAAAAGTCCTGCTCTCAAGGAGTTTCCAATCTAGTGGAGGAAACAACAATTCATAATTATAAACAAACAAGCAATAAACAGCATAAATAAGTAAGAGAGGGAAGGTGTTAGAATTAAGAGGGTCTGGGAAATAGTATTAGAAATCAACTATCATTAGCCAAATATCCATCACACTTCACTAATAGAAACTATGAAGTGTACTTGAAATAGGAAGTCTCAGTTTTAAGAACTTCTTTTTGAAGAAGAATACAAATATAAAGGAGCTAGATTTAAAAAAAAACTGTACCTTTTTAAAATATTGAAAAATTTCCCTCACTCACTGGAAGCAGTTGATAATGAGCCACTTAATATTTTACAGGTATATCATTTGTTTAGGGTTAGAAGTTATATGAAAATAATGGTTCTTGTTTGAAGAATACATTCTTGTGTTAATTCCATTCGTTAATAAATTTTTTGTTCCTGAATTTTTAACAACTGAATTTTTGAACCAAAGTAGTTAAACTAATTGTTAGATTAAAATAATTATGAAGGAAGGTCATACCTAGTTGGATTTTTTTAAAATTGTGATGAAAATTTTTCAGTTTTAATATCCCATTATTAAACTGTACAATTGTACTTTACACTATTAAGAATATACTTAAGATTTTTTCCTTCTGATGCCATCATTTAGGGATCAGAGTTCCAGAATAGTTGCTTCAGCTTTGTATTTTCTGTCTGTTCGTGACAAACTAGCTACTGTACATTCACATAGAGCAGTACAGTCCTTGCCACTGGCAGTCTCTCTGTGTGACACAGAGCCTGTAGACTGACATAAAGTTCAGCCTGTTGTGAACTGTTAAGTGGGAGCCTGCCAAAAACTCAGCAGACAGAACTAATTGGGGAGAAAAAGGATTTTTGTGCCCTCATTTCTCTTCTTTCATTTTTTTTTTACAAGACGGATATTGTTAAAGTAACTTGTTTATGTAAGATTTGTCTGCTTCTATTTTCTCGTTGCATGAATCATTTTTTAACTTCAAGTCTTACACTGCAGGTCACTGAGCACTTCCACATGGTGGCTGGCAAAGGACCAAACTCAAGACACGCAACTCATCACAGTTGATGAAAAATTGGTAAGGGTTTTTTACAACATACTGCTACAATTCTGCCTTCAGGTTATTTCTGCACAATAGGCATTCAGGATGGCATTCTGTGCTCCTTGAGTAAAGAAATATAAATTTTAACATCCAGATTTAAACAGAAACATTAGTAAGTCACAAGAAGATAATCTGTGAATTAAAGTACCATATGCAATCACATACACAAATATTAAGCAACAAATATGAAATTGTGAAAGGCCTAGATCATAGTGGTTATATTGTGGTCAAGTTGCAATGAGTAATTGATTTTGTTTTTGTTTTATAAATGTACTGTTTTTTTAATTCCCTGGTTTATATTCCCATTTAATTAATTGCAACGTATTTGCCAATACTTTAAAAAATCAAATGTATTAGGTTTTCCTTTTTGCTAAAGAAATAAAGTTTAAAGAACTATGCAAAGTTATTTTACTGTATACATACCTCATTTCTGCATATGCATGAAGGTTAGGTTACAACTAGAAACAAATGCACAACATTCTTCTGTTAATCAGTAGCAGATTAGAATTTTGGCAGCAATCACTTATAAAATTTTTCAATGTGTGGTCTGTTACTTTAGATGCAACCTGATATTTATGCTTGTATGCAACAATGGCATAATTTTTGTAAAACTTCCAAGACTTCTGGTGAAAATGTGTCATAGCATAAACCTGTTTTTCATTGTATTTTTGAATTACTGTTATAGAATACATGGGTGTGTTTCTTGATTATGCCTCTTCTGTTTGTTCTTCACCCTTATATTGCTCACCTTTGTGCAGGAAAAGGTACCTAAAATATTTGAAGCAGAATGCTAGAAATGTACATTCATATATACAAAAGCTCCTGAAACATAACATTGCATGTTTAAATAATGAATACTTAGGATCTTGTGCTTGCGTATATTATGTCTTAAGTCTTCTATACATTGCAGTTTGAGTTCAGTACCTATGTGTTTGATTTTATTAGTTTAAACAAATTTAAAACTGATGAATTAAAATTATATGTATATAGATATGATATATAGATATAAATTAAAATGTGCTTTGATTTTTTATGTAGATTATGATCCCATGTTAATTTTATATAAAAACAGTGACTATTCAGTAGTCAGATGTACCTTTTAAGTTAGCCTTGGAATTACTTATAATTCAAGACCTATAGAGGTGAATGCCAATTGGTCTGTAATGTTCTTGTGCTGTGCTTAGTTTATAAACTTTGGGATGGTACTGTTTCTCCCATTTCACAAGTTTTGTGAATATAAATTAGATTAAGTTCAGCAGATAAATTTATTGAATACATGTTGTAAACAGTATGTTTCGTCTGCTTTCTGACACTCAAAAAAACATTTAAAAATTTTCATCTTCCTAGTCAATGGCCTGTTCTGTGGAGGAAATTTTTTTTTAATACTTCAGAGAAGGTGTTATTTCACAGCAATTGTTTCCTGTATACAGATATTAAAAAGCTATTAAACCTTTCTATGTATCTGAAATATGACTTGAAATTAATTTGTTTTATTTTTATGTTTCTATTTGGTTGTTACCTTTTTGTCAATTAAGATTAATAAATATAAGTATTTTACATTATCAATATCATTTTCTCATCTGTGAAGTGCTAGCATTGTAGTAGGTCAGGAATTCTTAACCTTTTTTCTTCTATGTACCCCTTTGACAATATCAAAGCCTAAAAAACCTTTCTAGGAAAAATGTTTTTGAATGCATAAAATAAAATACATAGGATTACAAAGGAAATCCATTATATTGAAATAACTATTAATTTTTTAAAAAATAAATAAAAGTTCACATGCTCCATGCTAATAAGAACCCTTGGGCTACATATTCTTACAAGTCTTTCTAGTTCTAAATCCTATGGTTCTATAACAAAATTATTCACAGAATCTCAAAACTTTAGAGTTGGAAAGGACCTCAGTGACTATATTAAGTGTAAATCATGAAAAAAAGAATATACCTGACAGGTGATTATCCAGGTTCCATTCATGGATCTCCATAATGGATCCCCTTTATGGAGGGGGAAACCTATCACCTCTCAAAATAAATGATTCTGCTTTTTGGGCAGATGTGGAAACTGAAGCAAACAGGGTGAAGTGACTTGCTCAGAGTCACATAGCTAATAAATATTTATGGCTGGATTTGAACTCAGGAAGATGAGTTCTCCTGATTTCAGGCCTGGTGCTCTATCCACTGTACCGCCTAGCTGCCCCAGTAGATTTGAGAATCATCAGCTTAGAGGATGATGAATTGAATTCCTGAGAGCTGATGAAATCACCAAATGAAGTAGTATTCAGGGAGAATAGAAGAGGGCCCATGGCAAAGCCCTGTGGAACACCCATAGTTAAAAGCTTTACCTGGATGAAGGTCCAGCAGAGAAGACTAAGAAGGGATGGTCATATAAGTGGGAGGAAAACCCAGGCAAGAGTTTTCCCAGAAAATACTAGTGAAAAGGGATGTATGGAGAAGAAGGTGATTGACAATGTCAAAAGCTGCAGAGAGATCAAGATATATGAGGACTGAAGTAAGGCCATTAGATTTGGCAAGAGCAGTTTTAATTGACTGATGAATTCAGAATACAGACTGCATAAAGTTAAGAGAGTCGTAGGAAAGATAAAATAGAAGAATCAACATAGACAGCCTTCTTAAGGAGTTTAGCCACGAAAGGCAGAAGATATGGGTTGGTAGCTAGCAGGGATGGATGGATCAAGTGAGATTTTTTTTTAGGATAGGGAGACCTACATGGGCATGATTTTAGAGGATAGGGAAGCAACCAGTACACATGGAGAGATTGAATGTTAGAGTGGAAGTGATAGGGCAAACTGCTGGAGAAGACATTATGAAATGGGATCTCTTATACACTGGGCACGGAGAAGGATCATTTCATTATGTGAGAGGAGGTAAAAGATAGTGGCGGAAGGCATCTGGATGTTGTGAGGTGAGGACAGGAAAAAAGAGAGCCCTTGGCTTATGGCCTTAATATTTTTAGTAAAATATTAAGATTCTTAGCTGAGAGAGAGTGGGAGAGGAGCCACTGGAGGTTTGAAGAGGAATGAAAAGGTTTGAAAGAGCCACTGTGGTGAGTGAACTTGTGAGTTAATTAGGGAGGTGCAAAATGATTGCCTTGTAACAGTGAGGGCCCAGTTGAGCTTATGTAACATGAATTGGTAGGGGATCAAATCAACAGTTTCCTGATTTTTATCTCAAATGCCTTCATAACTGGGTTGGAGACTATAAAATGACTTTTCTCCTCTTCCCTAAAAGAGAGGATGAGAGGAAGAATAGTATTTTTCCTTTTCCAGCAGGAGGCAGGAAAACTCATCTTTATGGAATAACATTTTTTCACCTTACCCAAAGGCAGGAGACTGGTTCCAGATGGGATGGTATTTTTCTTCTTCCTCTAGGAAACTGGAAACTAGGCAGAAAACTTAGCAGGATAGAATGATATTTCTTCTATTACTTCAAAGGAGGAAGACTGGTGCTTAATGGAATGGCATTTTCTCTCCTCGATAAAAGACAGGGTTCTTTTTAAGGGAGTTTTTTTAGTTGTTGTGTATGAGATATTTGATGACAGTTTATTTTCTGGCTTTTTAGAAGCATAAAGAAGTACCTAGCATGCATAAAACATCAGTCCTCAGGAAACATTCACTTGTATTAATGACCTCTTTGCCAGACTTTTGTTCCCACACTTTTACATAAACAACCTTTAATAATTCTTCCTCACTTTGTTCTTCAGATCATAAGCCTACAAGAAAAGCATACAAAGTCTTTATGTTATAAAGATTATAAAGTCTTTTTAAAAACTTATTTGGGAACATAGTTTTAAAATTATTTTGTAGTCCATACAGCTATGTGTAGTACTTCTTACGGGTATTAAAGAAAGCATATAAATTATTATTTCTGTGGCCCCTAGCTTTTGTTGCAAGGAACACTCAGAATATGGAAGGGAAATGGGTGCCTTTCTTTGCCTTTGTACTTTATTAAGAGGGTAACTGTGTTTTGTATCTTCCATGCCTCATTTCCTTTCCTCTAGCACCTTTAATGAATATTTAAGTCTAATGATCTTGCTTACTGTTTTTTACATTTACTTGGACTGTGAGACATATATTTGTAGTATTTTTTTTTTAATTTTAGGTTGTTGATCAGTCAGACACAAAGGTGTGGGTTTATGATTTTCAACAGTCTTAAATTAGCTCTTTTAAAATGCCTTACTCCTTCTGTTGTCACATTTGCTTTATATTTACTTCCCACTGATATTAGACTTTTATTACAAGGGAAATTTTAAAATACCACTGAAAGACTATTAGAAGGCTGCCATTTTACTTTTAATGACTTAACAAAATATCACATTATTAATTTATCATTAGCATATCACTTAATTTAAAATTTTCATGTTGCTGTTATTCTTGCTAAATACCTGTGTTTATATAGGGGGCATAGAGTTCCAGTGGTTTTTGTTTTCTTGTAGGTTCCCATGTAATTGTCTTAATGATAGTAAACACCACTCATTTAAATTGTTAAAAGGCATTTGTAGAGTGTTGCAGAACTAGTTTTATACATGCAGTTTTAACACAAAAAGTTTTACTTAAAATGGCCTAATGTTTCTTATTTTTAGTATCAAATTCCTTTATTTTGTTTTTTATTTTAAGACTTGGGGGAGGGGGAAGGTGTCATTTTATTATGCTGTTCAACATTGTGACTTATTCTAAGCAGTGTGACCCTTCTTAAAAGTATTTTTTAGCAGGTAGGTAGATATGAAATGTCATTTCCAGTAGTTGTATTGTTACTAATTAGTTGTACTTTGTTTCATGGCAAGTAGGTCCTTTTTAATTAAAATACTATCTCACTTTAGACTTTGCTTCTTGCTGCTATTTGTTTTTTTAGAAGTAATTGCTATTAGATTAAGGAAGTAACAGAAGTAGCCCAGCTCAACTGACTGGGTAGTAGTAGTGCTTTTCAGAAGAATGTCTGCAGGCAACAAGTTATCTAACA